TCAGATCGACGTGCAGTACCATCGGTGAGCATGGCATCAAACTCGGCTTTGGCTATAACAAGCCGATCAGGAGCGAGTCGACGTGGACGAGATGAAACTGGGGGGCCAGGGGTCGTTTTGATGAAATGCAAGGTTGAATGGAGCACTTTTCTTGGTGTACCAGAGGGTCGGGTAATCATGGGAAATTCTGCCAGTATTGATGAAGTTGAAGAATTGGGTGTGATAGTTTTGATGCTGAAATGAGGGATTGAGGTACATTGACAAAGAACAGTAACATCACGTCGGGGTCACCATTTCTAGCGGATAGACGCACTAAAACAAATCATTCTAGTAAAAGGTCATTTAATTTACAGAGAATAGTTAAGTAGTGTAATCCACTAGATTCAAATCAGAAAAACTGTTGTTAAAACTGTTGTTACCTAGGTTGCTAGGATAACAAAAAAATAAACAAATGATTAAAGTAAATACAGAACACATGGTTATTGTGTTAGACAGTTTAGTGGCACCACAAATCCACTACAAAAGATACACCTTGAGTGCAACACTAAGTTTAGTGTGGTAGTGTGCAAGGTTAGTGTAGTCTTAAGATTGTTTTCAGCCTTGGAAGAACTAAACACTACCAAGAATGTCCCCTAAGGACTTCAGGGGGGAATTTTATTCCACAGGGCCCACTAAATTTTTATTTAACATCAAGCTTCCACTGCCAACGCTCTGTTGTAATATTTTTGTTCACTTAGTTCTTCCAACCCAGGGGCAACCAATTTGTAAGGAACCAGTCAGTCGAGAGGTATTTGAGAGTATTTACCAGTAAAAATATATTTGAATATTTATATTTAAATATGTTGTTAGAAATCCGTTTTCTTCTTTACACTTTTACTTAGTACTGAATCACTTGATCAATACAAATAAAATCTTAAATGAACTTATTACTTATTCCTTATTACATTATGACTATTTTGGTAACTAAGTGCCTTCTTGTGTCAAGTTTTGCTAATGACGTAGAGTTCAGTATGGATTTTAGAATTTTAGTACTGTTTATAAATACTTGGATATATCATTTTTGATATTACAGAAATTACATCAATGGACAAAACTATTGTCAAACGTATGTTTCCGATCTTTGGGAAGAATATTTTAATTTTTCTTGCAGTAAAAAACCATGCTTGGGTTACTTTTTAACAGAAATGTTGCATTAACTTTTGAAACATAATTTTTACAGGAATGGGGGTTGCACTATTTTGTGTAGAATTATAAGGACCTTTACTGACAAATTTCAATCAAAATTGTTTGGTTTTTTTTTCAAACAAACAAACAAAACTAAACTTGCTGACAATCAAAATTAAATGTTAAATATAGAAGGAAAAGTAATTTAAAACAATACAAAATAACATCAAACTATAATAATGGAGTAATTGGAACTGTTTTAAATTTACAATTCAGAATGTGTATTGTCATCGCAGTTCATTTGACAAAAATGAAATCTAAGCAAGACAGAAATATCCATCAATAGCTTCAAGGTCAAGCTATCCGCTTTTGCACCAACAATCGTCTGCTCCTTAACACATCGGTCTGCTCTGCTATGTCACAACACTGCAACCACTGCGACAGTTTGTGGTTAGGTGATAACTACCCTAACCATGTGGTCTTTCATTTGATATATTACAAGGGGTACCTTGCTATTAAAAAAAAAGTTCCGGGGAGGGGGGGGAACTATCTTGCAAATTTATGAACCGATTTTCAATTTTTTATCATCTAACATTTTCTTTTTTCATGCTCTTTCATTTGATATGTCACAAGGGGTACCTTGGTATTAAAAAAAAATAAGTTAGGGGCAGGGGGGAATGTGAATGTAACGTTGAATTCAAAACAATTGGCCCCCTACGTCAATAGATGATTCTGGCAAACTGCATATTTCTATCTATTGCGGTTTTTACATAAATAAAGATGCAAGTTTTTAAAAAAACACCCTGTATATCTATGAATTTATACAACTTATATATATAAGTTTTTAGGCATATATCTAACTACCACCACGTGAGCACGCAACATGCAGCTGTCCGTGTGAAAAGCGTGAATTTTCTAAATTTAAGCCGACCATAGTCAGAGATTGCCCTAGTCCTTTATAATAATGGTAATTGCAAAAGCAAGACACAAAGGAAATTGTAGTTGCTTAAATTCAGAGGGTAATTCAAATGAAATCATCAGTATTCTTGGGATTAAGACTATTTTTCTCCTTTAAACTTACAACTGATAATAATGACTAAAGGTATGGACGCACCAGATTTGCCATCAAGCATCGACATTCTTTTTGACGTATATTTCTGGTTATATGCACAAAATGTGTACCAGTACATTTATGGGAGTTAAATTTTGTGTTTTCGAGTTCGTTTGGCTTTTCTACCCACTCGATTTTGATAATTTTGGTCTTCAAATAAAGCTATGCAAGCACATATTTGTCATCAAGCATCATCATTAATTTATCGAATGTACTACTCAACGAAAAAATATAAATTTTATTTTTTACTTCAATTAAAAATGTATTCCAGCAGTAATTACATTGCCCTATATGTGTTGGTCTAAAAACCTTAGTGAAATACGTAAATTTGAGCTATCCTTATATATAATACGTTAAGGCGATTTCTACGAAACACTACTCCTCCGTTAATAATGGACGGATTTTTACAAACGACGTGTCAAAATAAAGTATTATTTGTGTAGACGCCCCCTTTCACCAATTCCTGTAATAAAAATCCTCGGGCTTTGCCCCACAGGCCATCAAAGTTGGAGTTTCTCCCATAAGATTAACATGGGGGAATCTAAATATTTAATTGGAAATTTTGTCCCCACTAATTTGAGAGAACGGCTGGGCGTAGAAACTTGGTAGAGGTGTCCAAAGAAAGATCTTGGTCTGTAGATGAGTTATCAAAAATAAAACTATGGTAAGACTCTATCCCAGAAGCCTTTAAAGATCCCTCCACAGAGTTGTTTACATTTTGGCCATGTAAATCCTATATATAATACGAGTAAAGTTTGAATACTTGTCCACTCGATCTGGGAATCGGCCCTAACAAAATCGTTTATATTTACGGAATAACTAAGTTCTGTGCCAAAAATAAGTTCTAGACCAGTGGTATAGCCAGGAAAAATCTATTTTCGCCATAATATGAGTGCAAACTTTTGAAAATTTAACATGGGCCTTATGAGAAAACATTCCGCCATTGTTGTCATTTTGTTTACATTTTAAGACATAACATGACGTTCTGTACCCACGGGCACCTCAGCTTGCCCATGCTATTTGTAGCATATGTTTACACAGACCAAAAGGAAATAACAATGTGTGTATACAGAGCAAAGGAAATTAACATTCAGATTATACCATTGAGCATATTATACTATAACTGAAAAACCAATTTCTGTCAATGTCGAGTGCGGTAGTTAAATTAATGAGAGGATAGAATAATCTTTAATTAGCTTTAACTTATACACCTCCTTTTATATTTATTGGGTAGTAGATTTCTGCTAAATTTATTTCAACTTAACTATTATTTCACGTGCAATTTCACTACATTCCCTATTGTAATGAATCTTCTAATATAAGTCATGCAGTAAATGATCACAACACTCATGAAGGCTTACCGTATTATTGCCCATAAGCAAGCTGAATACTGAAGCTACTGAAGGTAATTCTTTCTCATAGTATCAATAACAATAACATACAATTACTTTTGATCAACTGATTCTATGGCTTAAATTTCAATTCTAACATTGGAAGCGCACTAGACTTAGGCTTCACATAAGTTCTAAAATATGAGAAACTAACCCATACTAATTATGTACAGAATTGAAAATGCTAACTTATTATTAAATTAAATATTTAGCATTTGTTACTGTGACTCATTAGTAGATTACTTGACCATAAACTTTATTAACATTGTGAAACGTTTATATTTTTTAATGTCATTTATGATAATTGTAAAATTAGAGTGTATAATTGTTCAAATTTTATTAAATATAAGTGTGAAGCAAAATAAAAATAAAAAATATGCAATGAATATTATAACAAATTAAAATAAGAGAAAGCATTAGACTAAAATAAATTATACTACATGTTTTAATACTTATGATTTTGTAAAAAGTGAACTCAAAATAATTATTTATTTCAGGCCGAAACTTCCAATTTTGGGTGGAAAACTATGGTATGGATGACATTCAGAATTTTCAAGACGAGGGAAATGAAGAAACCCACAATGTCAGCGAATTAGAAGCCATTGGTCGCAGACAATATAGCAACGAACAAAAAGACTTTGTTGATGCTGTTATGGAAGCAATAGAAGACCCGATGAGTTGCATCCCCAAGTGTTTTTTCCTCGATGGACCAGGAGGTACAGGGAAGACATACGTGTACAATACCCTCTACCATCTAATTCTTGGAAAAAATCTTAATGTAAAATGCATGGCATATACCGGCATTGCATCAATCTTGCTACCTGAAGGACGTACTACCCATAGGACTTTTGGTCTAAAAGTTCCATTGACTAGCGATTCTAAATCATCAATTCAGCCAGGCACTCAGAAGGCCCAAGAACTGGCAGAAGTAGACGTATTTATGATGGACGAAGCACCAATGCTACCAAAATATGGCCTAAGTTGTATTGACGGACTCCTGCGAAGCTTAGGAAACAGAAACTTGCCTTTTGGAGGAAAAACTATGATCCTAGGAGGAGACTTCCGCCAATGCCTTCCAGTCCAGCCTAGAGCAAATCGATCTGAGCTGATCGACCTTTCTGTAAAACGTTGCAGTATTTGGAAGTTTTTCAAGCTCTTCTCTCTTCATCAAAACATGAGAGTCAATCTCGATGAAAGTGCATTTGCTGGATATCTCCTTCAACTTGGAAATGGAGATTTGCCCACCAACAATGACTGTGAAATAAATATTCCCGATGACATTATTTCAAATAGGAATATTGTTGAACAAATATATGGCGATTGCCTAGCCAACAGAGATTACAATGCTATGAGAGATAGAGCCATCCTTGCACCTTTAAATAGAGATGTTGATAATATCAATAACGAGATCATCCAAATTATCCCTGGACAAGAAACAATTTATAAAAGTTTTGATTCAGTAAAAGATGAACCTGATGGAGCTCTCAAATTCCCAACTGAGTTTTTAAACTCAATTGAAATATCAGATTTACCACCTCATGAACTCCGACTAAAAAACAACGTCGTTATAATGTTACTCAGAAACCTAGACGTGACGGAGGGTTTATGCAATGGCACAAGACTGATTGTCACGGAGTTGTGTCCGAACATTATTAAGGCTAAAATAATTACTGGCAGTCATTCTGGTCGAGATGTACACATTCCAAGAGTCACTCTTGATTCGAGCAAGTGTCAACTCGGATGTTCGCTGCAAAGACATCAGTTTCCAGTTCGACCAGCTTTTGCTATGACCATCCATAAGTCTCAAGGCCAAACCTTTCAGTCTGTTGGTGTTGTGTTAAACAACCCCGTATTCATGCATGGGATGCTCTATGTAGCTTTCTCCAGAGTACGAACAAGAAACTCTTTAAAAGTTGTTTTGCCATCTAGAGACAGAAAATTAACTAAAAACGTTGTTTGGATGGAAATATTCAGATGAACAATATTGAAAATGTTAGTTCATTTTGGTCTATGTAATTAATATTTAAATTTGTACCATAATAACTAGCTTACCTTACTTGAAATTATTTAGTTTGGATTAAATAGTTTGTTGACTTAATTGTCGATAATCTGAAGAATATAGTCAAATTAGAATCTAGAGCAGAGGTAAAATATGTAATTGTATTATATCCTATTTTACCACAGTTGAATGCTTATCACCATTACATTTTTATAGTTTAAAATTGGTTTAAAACTGACTAATTTGAATTCTTATGTGTTTGTTATGTTATTTGTTTTAGTCTATAAAAAACAATCGTATAAACAATTTGTAGTTTTCATGTTTTTACAATAAATGCAGCCTCAGTCTGTAATATTAATTGTAACTACTGTGATATTTTTCTTTGTTTGTTTAAGAAAACTATTTGGAAAAGTGAATTGAGATGCTTACAGTTCTTGTGTGGAAATCCTTAGAACTTAAATTGCAATATTATAGCATGCCATGTTGTCTATACTCAACTACAATGTAGCCAAATTAGGATGTTTTTATTTTTTTGAAAAATAAATCACAATATTTTATTGTTTAAAGATGGAATAAATTACTATATTAATTTACATGAGAATCATCAATTTTGCTTAAAAAACAAAGTCAACTACAATATTACTATTATAACAGACTGATAAACAATTATGTTTTTGATAGATGACATTGAACAAATATTTCTCTCAGAGTAAATACTAATGATTTCCCGAGCAAAGCTCGGTCCCCAGGTACTAATACTTTTTAATAAAACAGCTGTTTATTTTTACTTTCTCCCCTTATACCATAGTATATGGAGAAAGTATTGTTTTCGTCAAAATTTTTGAGTGGATATATTCGTTTTTGGTCCCCCTGCCCTGGACCCAAAAAAGTGGTTTTCGAAGTGATGTCTGTGTGTCTGGATGTGTACAGAGCTAGGGACTACAGCTGTGGTCCGATTTCGATGACATTTGGTATGTAGGTTCTAATCCATGGTATCTCCAGGCGTTTTATCATTTTTTTGAAATTTTCATTTTTAATGGAGATTTTCCGATTTTCCCATAAAAAAACCGGAAAAATCGGATTTTCTCAAAAATGGCCCGAACGATTATGAAGAAAATTTAGTTTGTTGTAGCCCTTTAAATTCTGAAGAAAATGGTACAAATCCCATTTCTGTAAAAATTACGGTTCAAAAGTAATTGAAAATTATGTTATTTTCTCATAAAAGCTCCATAAAATAACAGAAGAAATTGATTTTCTAAAAAATGGCCCAAACGATTTTGATAAAAATTTAGTATGTTATAGTCCTTTAAATACTGACCAATATTGTACAAATCCTATTTCCGTATATTTACTCTCACCGCTTACACATGATAATCGACACACATGTATTTGTTGACAAACTTATGGGAGAAAGTATGTGTCAGAATGCTGATACCGTTTATTAAATTGTATTTCAAACAAAACACATATTTATTGGGATCTACTGAATTCTACCAAGTAAGTATTTGCAAGTTATTTTCTGATTTTAAAATTGATTTTCTTCTTTTATCATGTCATGCTTTGCAATATAACGTTTCATTTCGAAATCAGAGGAAAATCCTTTTATTACATAAATTTTTAAATTATTTCTTATTGAACTATCTTATATATTGTACGGGTTGTGTGGGTGGCGTGAAATTGTAGACCCAAAGGTAATTTCATTCCAGAGGAGGAGTAATAAACTGTCAGTGGATAAAAATTGCATTTATGGGACAGTAGAGTGGTCCATAGCTAAGAAATTGCAAGGTAAAGTCATCCTGATATTGCATGAAGAGTAATACTACTTTCTGGCTCCCTGTATTACCATTTAAAGAAACTAACCAACGATTTATCGACGTTATTATCCTTGTGTGCCATGGTGGCACCTTAACGCGCTCCCATAAAAATATACTTTACAACCATAATCAGGTCACATATCTCACCATTGCACTTTCTTATTTAAAACTCACAGTTCTAATTTTCCATAGAGAGGAAGGCCAGCTTGTTAAATTTAACTTTAATCTCAAAGGTGAACACCTGCTAGATAACTCTAAATTTAAACACAGAATTCTGACTGTAAATTTGTAAATTTTAAATCTCGGTTTTTGTGTCTACTGTAGTTCTTGTCCTGTGACACTGACCGCTACATGACATTATGACAAGATCGTTTTATTTGGCTAAATGAAGGCGTAAACAGTGAAACAAATTGTAAACAAAACATGACCTCGATAATCTACATTGCACCGTACAGAAATAAAACTAAAATTTGGGCTTAAGCTGTTCCATAAGTATGACAAATCTACTAAATATGTTTTGATCATAGATCAAACAGTCCCTTAGAAGATTTGTCATTCTTGTTGAAAAGCTGAAGCCAATTTTATTGCTATTCTATGCCGACTGTAGAGGTTGTGTTTTTTTACAATATGTTTCTTAATTGTTATTTCAGTTATTTAAAACCTAATTTAACCAAATAAAACTATCTAATCATAAAAAATAACTGGTCTCCTAGTTATATAACCAAACAGTAAAGCACAAATCTTAAAATTACCCTAATATAATAGAAACAAGATTTCGTTTACACTAGCGATCAGTGTCGATGTACATGAACTAGACACGAAAAATAAGCTTCAAAATCAACAATGGGATGAGAAGTCTACTTATGTTGCATAGTCTACTGTTTTATCTATGAAAAAGTATTTTTACACCGGTACTACACAATATTAAAAAATAAATATTATACAATAGTTATCATGCATAGCATAAATAAGCAACACGAGCAATATCAAACTTATGATAATATATTTCAGCTTACATAATTAAAGTAAAACAGCAGATAAAAAAAATTATTCTATTATTCAACAAAAAACCATTTAATATATACATCTATTACATATGTCGTCCAGGAGTAAATAAAAATTGGGTAAATATGCATTTTAGGGTTTGCACGCGATTTTTGAATTTTTTTTTTTTCATTCTACTCGAAATTTAATGCTGATTCCGAAAATGACGTTCTTTTTCCGCGGAAAACGACCATAACGCGGAAAAACGACAAAAAACTTTTTTTACCAAAACACGTCATGTGGGTACTCAAATTAACCGTAATATTAAGCAGATCACGACTATGCAAGAATCTTTTGGATCCGAGGTCAAATAAGCGAGATTTTCACGTAAATATGCGATGCTATTTTGGATTTTTGCTCAAACTTTTGTCTGTGTTAAAATACCAGCTGATCAGGATCAGCTGGTCATTATTTTATTATAATTGTTTATGTTTTAATTTAACAGGTAAAAGGGATGATACTAAGCAAAACCTAACCTAACCTAACCTAACCTAATCAACCTAACCTAAATAACCTAACCAACCTAACCTAACCTAACCAAACTAACCAACCAAACCTAACCTAACCAACCTAACCAACTTAACCTAACCTAACCAACCTACCCTAACCTAACCTAACCAACCTACCCTAACCTAACCTAACCAACCTTAACCAACCAACCCAACCTAACCTAAACAACCTAACCAAACTAACGTAAACTACCTAACCAACCTAACCATCCTAATCTAAACTAAACTAACCTAACCAACCTAACCTAACCAACCTAACCTAACCTAACCAACCTACCCTAACCTAACCTAACCAACCTAACCTAACCTAAAAACCCCGAATTCCCACCTGTCCCCTAGTGAGTTGGAGTTATTGCAACATCCTAACCAACCTAACCATCCTATTCTAAACTAACCTAACTAACCTAACCTAACCTAACCAACCTAACCTAACCAACCTAACCTAACCTAAAAACCCCGAATTCCCACCTGTCCCCTAGTGAGTTGGAGTTATTGCTGGTACTATCACGTTTTTGTGAAAATCTCGCTTATTTGACCTCGGATCCAAAAGATTCTTGCATGGTCGTGATCTGCTTAATATTCCGGTTAATTTGAGTACCCACATGACGTGTTTTGGTAAAATAAAAAATTCGGTTGTTTTGGACGTTTTTCCGCGTTATGGTCGTTTTCCGCGGAAAAAGAATGTCATTTTCGGAATCAGCGTTAAATTTCGAGTAGAATGAAAAAAGAAATTTCAAAAATCGCGTGCAAACCCTAAAATGCATATTAACCAAAAATTGAAATACTTTTGGTTTTGCTACGTTTGCTGCACTTAACGCAACTTCTTATTGCCGAGTAGCGGCTGCTAGTCCATGCGATAATTTGAGGACCATTGCACGATAATTTTTTTGTCTACTCAGGATCGATCAGCTGTCCCATCCGCTATGACGTAATTCCCGCGCGTTATAGGCTATGCCACGTTTTAAAAATTATAAGCTATAGAACAAACGAGATTTTATAAGCTGCAGCACATTTGAGCTATGCCATTATAAGTTATGCCACATTTTAAGAAAACCGTTATAAGCTATGCCACATTTCTACGATTATAAGCTATGGAACACTTTAAATTTTCCATTATAAGCTATGCCACATTTTCAAGATTATAAGCTATACAACATATTCGCAATTATAAGCTATGACATTATAAGCTATGGCATCGTACCCACAAGTGGTATGTTGTTCAGTGACAGACGTCCCATAAGATAACATGGCAGACAGGTGATATCAGCTCATTAATTCACACTTTATTGATTTCAATTTAAATTTATAAACATAAATTTATTAAAATATTGAAAAAAGACATACAGAATTGAAAACCGAAACAATATGAATTAAAAATCTATTATGTACATTTTAAGCGGAGTCAATATTGTCATAGTCCAGTAACCAATATTTCGTTAATACACAAATACCATTAGCTGCTTCACTTCCAAACAAAACAGCTGTTACAACACCTCTTGTGATGTTGCCACTTTGAAGGCCGAGGCCTGGAGTTAAAGGCGGCCGTGCGTGCACCCGTGCACCATCGATCTCTAAAATAGAGATCGATGGCGTGCACTACTACACCAATAATTCGCCAAATGGGCGATAGATTATGTACGGAAGGTCTGTTCTTATGGTAACAGACTTTCTCGTGGTGTAGGAGAAGCAGAAGAAGCGAAGCAGAAGCATTCAAGCAGTTTAGAAGCACATTTGAAATGGTTTCGTTTTAATTTTATTCATACTAACAGTTAACTTATAGTTTTCATAAGATTGATTTTTTATGTATTGATTTTTATATCCCATCTCTAATAAATACTGAGTTTTGATTTAAAACAGCAAA